CTCCCTCTCTCTCTCTCTCCCCCCCTCACTCTATCCCCCTCTGTCTGATTACCGGTAGACCGTCGCGCGCAGCAGCGTGCGTGAAACAAGGGATCGTAATTTTCGAGGAATATTCGAAAAATTAATTCGAATCGGTGTTGGAGGAACGTTCAACCGATTCGAGGCCAATAACACATCTGATGTCTAATGCCGATCGACTGTTCGAAAAGTCGCTTACCTCGAGTTGATTAGACACGATACAGTAAATCCTCGATGAGTGTTAAAAGGCTCCTCTCGGCACTGAACATTAAATATTTTATAAACTAGTGGTCATATGCGACTGAAACAGATATCATTGGCTTCCAAATTTCAAGCTCTACCCCCCACCCCCCACATGCTCTCGTTTTTGAGGACGGTGCTGCGATTATCCGTTGTTCGGAACACACACGTTCACGTTGGAGATGGGGTGCGTTCCGGTCGACAATTGGAACACGTCATCGATAATGCATCGGCGTTATCGAGATTCTTGGGTAGGTACGCATCTTGTTCAGCCTTTGCGAGAATGGACATCGATCGATCGAGGTTTGCCGACCCTCTATAATTCATCGTATTTCCGTTTCCTGCTGTTCGCTGGGGCGCGTCTTCCTTTCGCGGGCCAGCAATCGAGTTAAAGTAACCATTTCGTTTGGAGTAAAGGTATACAGTAAATTCTCGATAAGTGTTCGAAGGCTCTTCTCGTATCGCTACTTATTAGTTCAGTATCACTAGTTTTTATTTCGTCATCGCTAGTTATCAGTGGTTAGTGGCCGGTGGTGATTAGTGGCGGTTTGTGGTGGTTAGTGATGGTTAGTAGTTAGCGGTGGTTACTCTTATTGATAACTGGTGATAACGAAGTAAGACTAGTGATACTGAAGTAATAACTACCGATACGAAAGCAACAACTAGTGATGCTAAAATACCAACTATTGATGCAACTAAGTAATAACTAAGAAGCAGAGATCTAAGATCTAAGATCCAGAGAATTTCGAGTAAACCACGATCAAAGAGCTTGGCGTCAGGGGTGGAAAAATCGTCGAGGGAAAAATTGTTCCGAGAGCGATTCCTCGGCGTTCGTTGCCGCTGAAAAGGGGCCAGGTTAGAGTGATGGGGGACGAGGGACACGGTCGGTAGGTGTGGTATACGGCAGGGAGCCGAGGGAAAAATAATCTCCCAGCGGGATTTTCGACCCTCGCAGCGTTTCGCAGCGGGGTGGAACAGTAGAAGAGGAGCGGGTGATCGTTAGCGCGCGGCGGGGACTTTGAAAGACGACGTGTCTCTTCCAGAGGGTGCAAAAGAGATAGGGTGAGAGAGGGCGAAGCAGCTGGTGAACGAGCAGGCAGCCACGGCATTGAAAAGGGACGACAAAGGGACAGGAGAGTCCTGACCCTCGAAGGGGCGCACCGGGAAAACGTTCGCCGGAATATACAGGGTGGCCCAAAGGCACTAGACCATTTATAAATAGAATAACTCTTTTATACACTAAACATTCACATTTATGATTTTATAAATATACTTCTTGGAAATTACTTTAATTAGTTTCGTAGATTATGTCCTTCGAATGGCCAGCAGTTTGTTCTCTGACCCACCCTGTACATGTCTATACTTCAGGGGATAAATCTACAGTTGAATCGAACATTTTGAAACTTATAAATTTATTCGAATAGAAGCACGTAAATGAACACAGTTTTATCAATTTTTGATATTCTTCTCGATGATGTCATCGTTCCCTAACAGATTTGTCAATATATTCATGAAAGTCGAAATTTTCGAACAACGAATAAAACATAAAAAAGTACTTTGTCATTTTTATACGTATTAATAAAATTATACTTGAAGGAGTCAACTATTTAATGTCATTAACTGTTTAAAACTCAGGACGACGTCCTTAGATACGGCAGCTTTTCAATGTATTATTTGAATAAAATTACGCCCAACACTGTTTCTGGATCGATTGTTCTCTATTATTCAAGAAGACGCCTCTAGTAGCGGGTTCTAGCACCGGCGACGGGAACGAGGATCTTCGATCCGGGTATAGTAACGCGATCCCTCGAAGAATCACGTGACACAAACGCTCTGCATTGCGCGCCGTTAACGTACACGATGATATCGAAAACTGCAGTAAATTCTCGAAGAGTGTTAAGAGAGATATTTTGCCGACCAATAACCACCGACATGATTATTTTTTTACCACTCTATCTCACTCGATCTCGTATGTCCCGTTCACTCTCTTTGTCACGAACAAATTCAATTGGAGGGCTTCTCGTGAGCTTCCAAGTATACTTATGTTTCCACCCCTTAGGAAATACAGTTTATATTATTACAATTACAATAGAGTATTCCTCCTTCGCTTGCGGGTTCCCACCGCAA